CTCTATGGACTGTTGTTGTGCCACACAAAGTTTGGAAGGCCTGCAGCTATTGACTCGTGGCTATGTTGCTGTTGTTTCCAGTTGTTTCCACTTTGTTATAATACCACTAAAAATTGACTGTGGGATATTTAGTAGCAATAATTTGCACGGAACACCTGAATCCAATAATTTGGAGGGGTGTCCCAATACTTTTGGCAATATCGTGTGTGTGTGTATATATATATATATTGAAGCTATATTCACTTTAAATATCCAGTCATATGCAATGCAAATTAACAAAAAAGAAAAAAACTGCAATTGCTAACATGATTGAATAATTAAAGTGTGCACGGCACCAACTCCTTCCATAAGGTAAGTGAATTTTCAGTTTGCAAAGTGAGCATACACCTTACAGAATGAACATGCTCTATTCCTTTAGTAAATCAACCACACTGTTTTCATAGCCACTTTCACATGATAAATTTACCTTTTTCTCAGTCAGTGGCTAGCAGTCCCCTTATTTTTGGTTACCACCTGGTCTCATTGCCTATAATAGATTCCTTTTCATGTATCCTTAGAAGTATTATTTTAAAGAGTCTTAGTTCATTCAAAGAGTTTACTGTACTGGGCTTTTCAATCTATTCATATTTAAGGAGCTGATAGGGATTAAACATTCCATTCACCAAGGTGCATTCAGTTTGACCTTAGACACTCTTCACAGTGCTATAGAGGGGAAGTGTGCCAATTATTGTAAGAAAGGGATTCAGATTCTTGGAAATTTGGACTTCAAACTGTAGTGTGTAGGTGATGATGCAATAAAATACATTTTTATTTTATTCTGACATATATAGAAAACCATGGATGCTGCAGAATAAAAAAGAAGAGAATCAGAGTAGTAACAATAAATTAAAAAAACAGTAGCACAGAAACTCTATAAACCTTATAGAAAATTTAGCAAAATTAGAATTACAGTTTGAACATCAGTGCACAATTCCACTTTCCCTTTCCTATCTAGATTACAGGCTCTTCTGTCATCAATGTTTTATTATTTATTTTCATTTTGCTGATAAATGTCCAAATCCTATACTCAGATCACTACTGAATCAGGTTTTATGGATATTGTAGGCTATTACGGACTCTTGGTTAGAAAGGTTAGTTAAAATCACGTTATTTATCTATAACCTCGTATAAAAATGTGAGCTTCTGTATTGCTTCTGACACCCTTGACTGCTGCAATACATTCCCAGAGAAATTGTAATCCATCAGTATTGTCTGCACTGCTGGAGAGATAATGGTATATTACTTTACAAGAGAATATTATCCTGACCTATTTTTTCTTCCTCACTTTATAAAGAAGCAGAAAGGTACTGTATTACAAGACCTGACAACATTTTACATAAATATTTAACTACTGCTATAACTAGTACAATTTAATTTCAGCCTAGGAAATATTTTAAGCATGTCAACAGTTTTTTTTTTATATTTAGTAAAATTCTCTGCTACTTTCTTTGGACGAATGACTTACAGACTGGTATAATACAGTCTTAAACCTTAAAGGTACACCTACACAGCAAGCATAGTCAGTCCTAATCTCCATGTTTCCAAATCTGCAGCAAATTTTCTTTAAAGGACAACTTTACCTTTAAACCCCTCCCCTTCCTTCCCAGGTGCCTCTGCTGTGGAAGTATGGCTTTATTCAATCTATGGAAAGTCACTGTGCAGACACACAAGATGTACCAAATAAGACTTCGGCTTGGGGCCTGTTTTTTTGTTTTTCATAAGTTTGTACTAAAATATAAAAGGTCTACATTGTACAAAATACAGCTTTTAATGTTTCATTCAATCGAACTGAAATATCCCGTAGTCTCTTAATTCCTCTTCATAATGTTTGGTAAATGGCTATTTTGCCTTCATTCAGAGAAATTAGTAACCAAAACATCTCGCTAATTGCCTCACTGGCAATAAATCAGTATCTCTGCTTGGCTAATGTAGTGACTTTTACAGCTATAAAAGAGTGTATGCCAAGGGATGTGAGGATCAATTCAAGACTGCTGATGACAAAACAAATGGATCCCTGGTGTGTTATTAATATTATAAAAGTATTATTTTTAGAACTTTTGTATTGTTTGAAAGCAACATAAATAATGGTTATATTTATCTTTTACCCTAAAATTTAACGAATAAATAAATTAGGGATGCACAGATACTTTTCGAGTACCAGTGCCGATACTTGGCATTTTCATGAGAACTACCCGGGCTGCAGTGGTTGCAGCTGGGACCTGGTTCTGGCGCTCCACCACTGTCCTGAAATCATTAGTCTGTATTGTTTTATAAAAACTGTCACATGACAATAAACAAAAATGTATCAGTACTCGTACTTGTAAGTACTCGGCTCGCAAAACTGGTATATGTGCATCCCTTTATTTATATTTATAAAAACAAAATCGTACATTAAAACAGAGATGTACGAATCCCAGGAGCTCCGTGTGCTCCTTACAAATGACAGCTGCGTCCTAATTTTTGAATTTTTCTCTAGTGTAGGAGCTCAAAAGTATCTGTACTCGTACTTGTACCGAGTAGTGTACTTGGTATCTGTGCAACCCTAAAAAAAATGGGTCCCATGTTCTCAAACTTTTTAAAAAGATATATCCTATGTAATTTTCCTCTAGCATTTCACTCAACACTAGTAAGATAACTTGATTGTACACGACTGGCAGTTGCAATTACCTTTAATCCCAACTCCATCCAACTTTTTTTTTTAGCAACCTCAGTTCTTTCCCAGAGAGTAGCGTTTAATTGGATCAAAGAAACAGATGAACAGAAACAGTAATAATCAAAATAAAATACCTAGACCTCACATGACAAAGGTTCCATGATGACCCACTCTATCTACCCAGCATATATCTCAAATCTTTATATGCACCTCTGTGGGGTTGATTTACTAACCTTATAAACACACCACGAACATGTATACACCTCTGTAGTGTGTTCCCTCCCAGCATGATCTATGGGTGGAATCTAAACACCTTTGTAGTGTGTACACACCCAGCAGGTGTGTTGTGCAAAGCCCAGCATGAATTGCAAGGTGGTGTTGTGTAAATTAGCTCTATGTTGTGTTGCTTGCGTTGATGAATGCAGGAATGTAAATGCATGAGCTAACCATTTTTGTCTAAACTGTGAAGCAGCATTATATATGCATCATGTGCATGATTTTTCCATATATGACATTAGTGGAAATATGCTTTTAGAGACTTTTTGGTTGATAAATACGTTTTGCTGTGTGAAAATCACACGCACCTGGTGCGTGTGTGTGTTTAGGTTAGTAAATCACCCCCTGTGCCTCTCTTCATGACTCTGATCTTCTTTTCAGCCACTGTAGGCTCTCTATTCATATACACTTTAGTGCCATTCACTAACACTGAAAGGATTCTGATTGGCTGGTCTAATTACCCCTTTGATGTTAGTTAACTAAACAGGTTTTAACAAAATTCCCTACAGCTGTTGCTTTGTGTACAATCAACACCCTGAAAACAGGATGGTCAGCTGGTCAATAAACTTACACAATAAAAACCTAGTTAGCATAGTTAAATAGCACCAGCCAAAAGAGTTTCCTGCAATACATAAGCATACACCCTAAATATATCCCTAATATATCTACTTCAATCATAATTTACAACAGTTGCTACTGCTATCTATGACACTATTAGAAAGATCGCCTCTCCCTTCCTGTCCTTGCTACACCAGAACAAGAAATGCAGCTAAGGGTTCCACTAGAATTAGTTAGTTCTAGCCAACACTAAATTGAAACTAATATGATTTAAAATTTTAGTTTTTTAATTATGGATAAAAAAAATTATATAAATTGACCTCTGCTATAATGTTTACCTTTCACAATTTTCAAAATAATCAGTTCATTATGAGAAAAGTAGAAAGTTATTTACACTTTTAGTTACACTATTACATAATTTGTACCTACATAATACTCATAATTTATAGAAAAGTCCAATGGTTGCTATTGCACTCTGATAAGAGTAAAAACACAGGTGCACTCAAGGCAATTAGATACAAATAATCCAGTGGAAAAGGCACTCTTGTAATGAGGCAACATACAGTGAGGAGAATAATTATTTGATCCCCTGCAGATTTTGTAAGTTTGCCCACTTAGAAAGAAATGAAAGGTCTATAATTTTTATCATGTGTATTTTAAATGAAAGAGACACAATATCAACCAGAAATCCAGAAAAAACACATGATGCAAATGTTATAAATTGAGTTGCAGTTCAGTGAGTAAAATAAGTATTTGATCCCCAAGCAAAACATGACTTGGTACTTGGTGGAGAAAACCTTGTTGGCAAGCATAGGGGTAAAACGTTTCTTGTAGTTGGTTACCAGGTTTGCACACATCTCTGGAGGGATTTTGGTCCACTCTTCTTTACAAATCTTCCCTAAATCCTTAAGGTTTCTTAACTGTTGCTTGGCAACTCGAAGTTTCAGCTCCCTCCATACATTTTCTATAGGATTAAGGTCTGGAGACGAACTAGGCCACTCCATGACCTTAATGTGCTTCTTCTTGAGCCACTGCTTTGTTGTCTTGATGGTATGTTTTGGGTCATTGTCATGAGAAAGTCCCATCCACGACCTATCTTCAGTGTTCTGGCTGAGGGAAGGAGGTTCTCATCCAAGATTTTACAATACATGGCCCCATCCATTGGCCCCTGAATGCAGCAAAGTCGGCCTGTACCTTCAGCAGGGAAACATTCCCGAAGCATAATGTTTCCACCTCCGTGCTTGACTGTAGGAATGGTGTTCTTAGGGTCATAGCCAGCATTTTTCTTCCTCCAAACACGGCGAGTTGAGTTAATGCCAAAGAGCTCAATTTTGGTCTCATCTGACCGCAGCACTTTCTCCCAATCCTTCTCTGAATCATTTAAATGTTCTTTGGCAAACTTCAGATGGGCCTGTACATGTGCCTTCTTGAGGAGGGGGACATTGCGGGCGCTGCAGAATCTCAATCCATGGTGCTATATAGTGTTACCAATGGTGTGTTTGGTGACAGTGGTCCCAACTGCCTTGAGATCATTCACAAGCTCCTCCCGTGTAGTTCTGGGCTGATCCCTCACTTTTCTCATGATCATCCTTACCCCATGAGGCAAAATCTTGCATGGAGCTCCAGACCGAGGGCGATTTGATAGTTATTTTATATTCCTTCCATTTGCCAATAATCTGTCCAACAGTTGTTTCCTTCTCACCAAGCTTCTTGCTGATAGTCGTGTAGCCCATTCCAGCCTTGTGCAGGTCTACAATCTTGTCCCTAATGTCCTTTGACAGCTCTTTGGTCTTGCCCATGGTGGTGAGGTTTGAATGGAAGAAAGAGATTCTGTGAACAGGTGTCTTTTATATACATAACAAGTTGTCTTTAGGAGCACCTTCGTAAATCTGTGTACCACTTAGCCAGTCTGTGGGAGCCAGAATTATTGTTGGTTGGTAGGGGATCAAATGCTTATTTTACTCACTGAAATGCAACTCAATTTATAACATTTGTATCATGTGTTTATGTAGAAATGTAGAATTTTGCTCACTTTCAGTTGTAGTGACAATGCTCAGCAGGAAAATGAAGCAGGCGAATCATCTAGTGGGGTCACAAGCAGCAATAAAAACTGACAAACTTTGCCATAAAAAAATTATTAGTAATGCATCAAAACAGTATATCACCACCTAAGGCTTAACCACTTGCTGACAGGGGTGTTTACACCCCCTTCCTATCCAGGCCACTATGATACTTTGTTGAAATGTATACCATTTTTTGGGGACAAGTAGAGCTTTCCTTTGGAGGTATTAAATCACCACTGGGGTTTTTATTTTTTACTATATTACTGTGTATATACATATCGAAAATTTTGAAAAAAAAAACTGTTTTCCCTTGTTATGTTAGGAAACATTTATTATTAGCCAAATTTTTTGTTAAAATAAAAAAGACGGGGTCACGTCGGGTAAATAGACACCAAAGATGTCAAGTTTTAAAATTGCGCATACCCGCAAAATCGCAAAAAACTACCACAACCAAAATTGGCCATATGCGATGCTTTAAAAGCTGTTACCACTCATCAGTTTAGTGTTAACAGTGGTGGGTGCAATCGTCGTTTTTGCACGTAGGTGCACACAACGCATATTTACATGTGTATGTGGGGGCGGGGGACTTTTAAACAATTTTTTTGTTTTTTTTGTAATTGCTTTTAATTGTGACTTTTTAATTATTATTTTTTGTATCTTGAATTTTTTTAAACCTTTTTTTTTCACTTAACCTCATTGCTATCACAACCCTGTGTGATAGCCAATTTACTATGACAGGTCCTCTTTATGAAGACATCAGGGTCTCCAAGACCCCTAATGTCACCTAGCTGGGGACCCCCAGAGAAGCTGATGAAGCAGAGATCTGCTTCACCAGCTTCTCCCTGGCTTCTGTAGCTGGAGAATGACAAATAAATGCGGAAGTGATGTAAAAAACATCACTTACTGCATTCCAACAACGGGGAGGAGATCAGAGGGAAATCATGTACTGATCTCCCTTTGATCTACAGTCACAGAGCCGCTCTCAACGTTCGGCATCGCGGGCGGTGCCTGCGATGGAAGGGGGGGTGCGCACAGCCGCACGCATATATATTACAAGCGACCAGGCGTCTCTACAGACACCAGAATGCTTGTATGTAAACAGCCATTTTAAAAACGCCCACCAGCAGCCAAGAAGCCGCTGTCTGGCCATTTAATTGCAAGGTGGTTAAAGTAAAACTCTGGCCACACATTCCAAAAAAATTGAGCTGCAGCACTTAAATATACATGCATCTGCACTTGCAGTTTTCTCCTGGTTCTCCTGTGAAGTCCCACAAATTGAAAATGATTGAGTTGAGACTGCCAGTGATGTCTACCGAATGCAGCTTCCTGTGATAATGTGGCAACAATGCTAAACTACTACTTAATTCAGAGCAGAGTTGCCCTCATAAAGACTGTACCTGGTTGCACTACAGTGCTATGAGACGATGTTGAGGGGTCAATGCTGGTTCACAAACCTGTAGCCTGTCAATCAGCACCTGACCACACCTAGTTCTGCCCTGTTTTTTGGATTGACAGATTCTGAAACCCTCCCACTGTGAGCTACATTGTCTGGGAGGGGGAGAATAGGAAAATGTCAGATTTTGTAAAGTAGATTTAAAAGATTTGTATCAGAATGTCCCAAATGTACTGTGTCCTCAAACCTTCCACTCCCTCTAGAGCATATACTGTACTAGCATTATTTCACATTGTAAACACTCATGGGCAGGGCCCTCCTAACCCTATTGTCTTGAACTTTATTGTAACTGTACTGTCTTCCTTTATACTGTAAAACGCTGCTCAAACTGTTGGCGCTATATAATCCTGTATATTCTGTATAATTATAATAATTCATATTTTTTTTCATCTTGTTCCTGTAGTAAGGGACATCTGTTTGAGTCATTGACCTAAGCACACCCTCAGAACTGTATTTCACAAGAGGCATTTCACTATACAAAGTGTGTAGGCTCTTGGGAATCAAGTTGCAGCATTGTTTTGTTTGTTATGAAATCAATGTATGGATATAGAGTGGAACAGAAAGGGGTAAGGTGTAGGCAGATTTTTGTAAACCAGCAGGCAGGCTGACAACACTGCTTGTGATTTTAGAGCAGCAAAGAAACTGTGTGGTTAGCTGAAGCAGGAAGTTGGCACACTAGCTATCTGGCACATCAACAGCTATTTTTTGTGTTCTTGCAGTGTTTCCAAGGCATAGGCAAATGTGCAAGTAATGCAGAGATCTTTGGAATATGTTTTTTTCTATTTTGCCCTGACGCATACTTTAAATCGTAACATTGGCCAGGCTATGGACATTTAAATATTTATATATTCTTAACATATGTAAATGTTTCCCATGTTTGCTTGCTTTTTTTCTGGGAGCCAGGGACCACATAGAAATCACACTAGGATGGTAAGTGGAGAAAGATGAGGGTCAGTGCTCCTACCTCTTAAATACCCACCCATCTTAAGTGCCCCCTTTTATTCTCTGCCCTCTCATCTTCAGTGCCCTTCATCTATTTTGACCGGCAGAGTCACAGCTGCATCATTATAGCTCTAAGAATGCTACTTGATGCACAATATGACATGAGGTGGAGTAATTTGGTTACTCATCTTTAATTTGTTGGATGGGTTTCACATGCGATCAGCTGAGCCAGAGCTCTTGGAGGTAAGTACCTCTTACATGTTATGTGTCTATGCTCACTAAACAGTAGGACTATTTTGGGTTCCTAAAAGTACCTGGATTATGACAATCCTGGTGCAAAATGGTTGACAAAAATTATACAGTAGTTTTCTGGCAGAAGTCAACATTTCTTTAATGTCTTGACTTGATTGAAGAAGATACATACTGTTAGCTCTGAAAAACTCCAAATAGGCTTTAGGCCTGTTCTCAACTCCATATGAGCACTTGATTGATGTGAAGCCAAATACTCGTAACCTTCAATAAGAGAGCAATTTATAAACCGCTCAAAAGCTTTATTAAATAATGTGCCTTCTTTTCCAAAATAGTAGCAAGAAAATCATTGTTTTCCATTTCAATGCCATGGATATTAGATGTCAAAATACCGATGGCTGAGCTGCTCAGTAAATGTTAGGGAAAAAACCTTTTGGGATTAGAGAACTACAATATCAAATTCCTGCAGGATTAACTGGTTGAGAGAATTACTTCTCTGTCCTAATGCAGTGACCTTACAAGCAATAAAGGCCTTTAAATCTCAATCAGCCCCGTGCGACAGAAAATCATTTTAAACTCCTGATTGAAAAAAAAAACAGCCAGGAACATTGAAGATGGAGATGTTTTTTTTATTTCCTACATTCATATACTGTACACCTACAGTTATGACTACTATTCATGATTCTAAAAGCAAAACTTATATGTTTTCATGTCAGCTTTTACTTTTTTTTAGTTTTATTTAAGTTTTTAAACTGTTGTCTTGTATCAGTTTTTTTTTGCTACATCTATGCAATCTTTGTTTTACAATTAAACATTTGATATATAAGAAAGAATTACCAGAGCACAATATCATCAGCCTGCTTGGTGGCTGGCTATGTCCAATTGAAACTTCAGACTGAACCGTCTCATATGGGAAGAGACACCTGTTTGAGACAGCTGTGTACATTTTACCCTGAGTTGTAAACAGTAGGAAAATGTTGTGCTGTTCACAAAAAATACAAAATATTATAATACAATCATTAATAATTTACTTTTTAAATGTACGAAGCAGAGACGCCTTACAAATTCAATATAACAACATATAGCAAAATATGGGGATTCGTAGGTGCCACAAACTTTGTACAGACTCATGTCTAGATAAAATAATCTTTTATTAATACATATTAAAACATTTCTTTAAATCAATAATACGTCTGTCCACCTTATTGAGTTACAGACATATTACATAATATGGGCCATACACTTGTTCATATGACATAAAGACTCGACGTGTTGCGCTACTGCTTCTTTAAAAGTCCTGTGAATGCACAATTGTACAATTACATGTTAATGCCATACAACATATGAATGAGCACAAAACATGCATATTCTTATCACCATCTAAATGCATCCGATACCCACAAACAGGGGTGAGGGAGGGGAGAACCGGGAAGATGCGTGCAGTAAAAACACCCAAGTCCAGGGCGATCAAAGCAGAGCCAAATGAACAAAACCTATATAGATAACATGTAAATAGATGTAATTTAAACCAATATACCTCCATAGATGAGTGTATTTGATTCTTACCACCTGGACATCCCGTATCACATATGAATTATATCGCAGGTGTACTGATATCCTATGCTTTTTTTCATGCATTTTTTTGTCCCAACTATGACAAAGAAAAACATATGTACAAAACCACTATAAATTTCCTTTAGATGTACCTTGTACAGGTGTTTTACTTGTTTTTGGGTAGGCTGCTCCTATGTCCATAATGCCAAACAGTATGTTTCTATTTTAACTGATACCTTTTATTGGCTAACATAAGCTTAAAGATGCAATCTGGGCCATCCATGTCCTTATTTACCTGGATAAGGGTCTTGTTGGGATGTTAAGGGGAACTCTGTTCCATTTTTTTTTTAAGGAACAGTACACTTTTTTAAATAATGGTTCAGGGTTCCCCATAAAATCCCAATCAGGCCCTTAACCTTGTGTGGCTAGGAAAGCAATGGACAGTGAGTGTTCTGACTTCCATCCTTCCTGTACCACATCTTATGCCCCAAGTAGGATGATGGTTTTTTTTGGGGGGGGAGGGAATTATAGCAGAATCTAGAAGCCTCCTTTACAATAAGAGGGCCTCCAGATGACTGACCCTTCCTAGGGGAATTAAATCAGAGGTACTAATTAGTACCCCTTACCCATTCCTTAAGAGTTACATGTATCTAAATAAACACACCATATATGTAATAACAAATCATAAAAATGTCTCCCAATGTTATCCAGCGTCATTCACATGGTCCAGCAACGTAATCCACATCAATCACAATGGCCAGCGATGTAATTATTGGCAATTATCATGTATCACCGTCTGACAATGATTGATCAATGACATCATCCAGGATCCCTGTAACTGCACGTATTAATGCAACACCAGGGATCTGTCAATTAGTGGTGGGAGCGCAGTGGGTAACAACGTGAGGGGGGCAGATCTTTGTGATTGACAAGGATTACATCAATGGAAAATGTGATTGGTACTAGATTACATTGAGGGACTTTTTTTTATTGTATTCTTTATATTTTTTAACTATAGAGAATGTAACAGAAGGAACAAAATTGCATTGGGGTGACATTGGGAATGAATGGCACTGCAGCACACCAATGCATGTGAATGTAAAAAAGGAGCTGGCCCCCCATATATATACATTTATAGGGATGCACAGATACTTTTCGAGTACCAGTGCCGATACTTGGCATTTTTATGAGAACTACCAGGATTGCAGCGGTTGCAGCTGGGGGCTGGCTCTGGCCCTCCACCACTGTCCTGAAATCATTAGTCTGTATTGTTTTAGAAAAACTGTCACATGACAATAAACAAAAATGTATCAGTACTCGTACTTGTAAGTACTCGGCAAGTACCAGTACTCGTACTCGCAAAACTGGTATCTGTACATCCCTTTATTTATATTTATAAAAACAAAATCCTACATTAAAGCAGAGATGTACTGATCCCGGGAGCTCCATGTGCTCCTTACAAATGACAGCTGCCTCCTAACTTTTGAATTTTTCTCTAGTGTAGTCTTAGAGCTCAAAAGTATCGGTACATGTTACATTGTATTTGAGTACTGTACTTGGTATCTGTGCAACCCTAATTATATATATCTATAAAGTCAGGGCCAGCTCTTTTTTTACATTCACATGCATTGGTGTGCTGCAGTGCCATTCATTCCCAATGTCACCCCAATGCAATTTTGTTTCAGTACACCAGAGGGCATGGTAAAGCATTACCAGGCGTTGTGGTGCTCTGTGTTAAATAAAATAGCGCATGTAAATTTTTTGGTATATTTTGGTGCATTAGGCAGCCAATTGAAATTAATGGCCATATATTTAAGTTTTGGATAGCACAGTGAATGGTTAAAACCCCCTTCAGGTTTTTTTCTAGGCTTCTGTGTCCCATTGAAAAGATTTTTCTCCAGTACCTGTCCTGGACACAGAGCAAGACGTTATAGGAGTTCTCTACAAAGTGATTTGAAGAATCCCTTCTTAACCAGTAGTCATTCAAACAGGTGTCCTCCTCAAAAGATTTCCCTTATGTTCTTGTTCCCATCCCTTTCTTTTCCATTTGCAATAGCCCTCAGGACAAATAGCAAGGATGAGTCTTCAAAGTGAGAACACAGATACCAACAAAATCAAAAAGTAAAATTAAATGTTGGTTGCCTATAGATACACTTTATCAAAATTTTTAATTTTGCTAAAATTGAACCATTTTTGGAAAAGTATTTATGTTAGCAAATGTGATCATTGCCAATAAGTTGATTGATAAATAGTCTTTTTCAAAGG